GTTTAATAACCTTTTCAATGAGTACAATGAAATCAAAGATGTGCTCCAACGTTCATGATTTTAATGCATTCGAACGTTAGCACTAATCTGGCAAGCAACATTTCTTTTGGGCACCTATATATATTTATGTTCGGTCAGAATGCTTGGCAAGATAGATTATTATATTTTGTGTTCAACATCCCCAAATATATTATAACTCTACTAGATTAATAATTTCATACTCTCATGGTAGAGTTACCGGCTTACGCCGAAGAGTTCGTTTTATCTTGGGGAAAGGTTTTAAGAAATTACCTTTAATGGGAGTTAAACATATTAAAAATGCAATAATAGGAGTTGCTAAGTTTATTTCCCCAAATAGGAGTTGATGTCTGACGCTAGCTCGTTCTTTTTTTCCTTTTTCCTTAAATGCCCCTTACTGCTTTATTTTCTTTCTCCAATTCGTAGCAGTCTCACGCAAGCATATCTCCTCCCCTTTTTTCCAATTCTCTCCTCTTTCTTCCTCCCTCCCCCTCTCCTTCCTCCCAGTTTTTATTTCCACCCATCTCTTCTTTTTACTTTCTGTCAGACATCACATCCCACTCACCCTCCTCCCATCTCTGTCACGCATCTCAACTCCCACCCCCTCCTTCTCCATTTATTATCTTTCTTCAATTCTCCAATTCTCCTAATCCTTACTTCTACCTTCTCTAATTTAAATCTCCTCTCAACCATCTTGGTCTTCGCCGCCCAGTTTCTACTACACCGCCGCCACCTCACTTTGGCGGTTTCGCCTCCTCCACCGTGTTCTCTGTTCGTCGATTTTTTTTGTCAAATAGATAACAGGTTTTGACTCTTAATCTCCATCTTCTTTTCCTCCTGCTCTGGCCTCCTTCTTCCTCCTCTATTTTCTTCTTTCTTTTTTAATTTTTTTATTTAAAATCGGAAAACATAGATCCGAAATTGCCAGGCTTGAATAATTGGTGTTAGGAATTTTTTAAATCAAACTTTTTAATTAAATCCAATTCTTTATTTTCTAAAAAACACCATTGATTAAATAATCAAAAAATGTGAATTGGATAAATAATGACACTAAATGTATGGAAATGGCAATATTTTGTATTTAACAATATGAAATTGCCATTATTATAAGTATAATGACAATATAACAAGGATGGCAATAATATCCCAAACGATGACCATTACTTCGTATTACTTGTGTTAGAAATGGAAATAATACTCCTAAATATGGCAATAATACTCTTAAAAATGGCATTATCGCTCATATTAAATATGGCAATAAGACAATAATATTAGTAAGAATTTATGACAATATGCATCAAAGAGTCAAACAAATTGTCAACTTTAAAATTTTGAAGACCAAAAATTTGTAAAGGAGTAATTTTTTATCTTAGTATATTTATTTTTTTTTTACCCAAAAAAATAATTTTTATCATAGTGGTGTAAAAATTATTTTAAAATAGCGATTTGACAATTCCATATTCAAACCAAAAAATAATCTCAAAATGACAAAAATATTGATTGAAATCAAATGTAAAAAATTGCAATATGTATTGTAAAATATAAATAAAATGTCAAGGAACGAAAGATGAAATAAAATTGAAAGAGAAAAAAAAACTGAAAGCATATCTCGAAAGAAGGAATAAAGTGCAAACAAAAATAAAATATAAAAGCTTCTTATCATTTAAGTTGTCTCATGACACTCGAGCAGCAACTTCAAGTGGTGCCGGAGATATGGTGGTGGAGCGTGTGTTCTATTTCTTTTATTTTACTAATGGTTAAAAACTTACGTGTGTTATAAAACCTGCAACTTGCTTTCATTAAATGTAACACCGTCCCCAAATATATTTACTTTTACGTAAATAATGTATCGAACCTTATTAAAGGATTAATGAATTTACGAAGCTGTAAATGTTTATTATTTCCTTCGCGTGAATAGTAAATTGCACGTGGGACCCACACCGGGAGCGGGGCCGCCCGACACTCCCGAGACCACATATTTTATTCATCTTGGTCAAGATAATATTTATATAGTGGTGGGTATTTCATTTGGGTCGTGGAAAGACGCAGAGTTGACCGATTGGGAAAAAGAGGCACAATTACCGGTACCGACAATTTAACAGGTAACAGCCCGAAAATGAATTTCGGAGGCTTATAAATTAAAGTTGGGGAATGTATATTCATTATACATGTCATAATGAGTAAGAGCACATAATATATTTTATTTGACCCGATAAAATAAAATATGATTAAAACAGTCCGAAAAATACAACTTTCGGGACCAATTGTACACTTCGGGACTTAAAGGGATGACCTCCCACATGTGTGGGGGCCAACCGACAAAATTATACACTCAAGACAAGTCTTGGACGGCTGGAAGGAAAGGAGGGAGGAGGGAGTTGTTTGGGTTTGAGATGAAAGGCATCTAAGGACAAAGTGGGTCTCCCATCCCACACCTATTTGTCTATTAAGACAAAAGTGAGGTCTACACCCCTCCCCCATCATTTTCGGCCTAAGCATCACAAGAAGGAGAGGAAGCTCTGCAAAATACATCCTCCATATCCAAGAACAAAGCTCAACCAATAGGAGTCCAAGGAGGAAGATAATAGAAGGAAAAAGCTAGGAAAAAGTGTGAAAACTAAGGTAATAACCTTATCATGACTTTTCCTTTATTTTTCTTCCACCATATGAAATATATATCATATTGAGGACTTTTAGCATGGTTCCACATGTTATAAGTATGGATTTATTGGTTGAAAGGTGGTTCTATGTCCAAGGACGGATTTAGAAGTCAAAAAGACCGGTTCACCGGAAAATAACCTTTTATGGGTTATTTGTATTGATTAAGGTTTTATGATGTTAAAACCTTGTTAGGAACTTGTAAAGGGTATTTCAAGTGATTTGACAAAGTTGGAAAAGTCGCCGGAGTTGTCGCCGGAGTTGACCAAAAGTCGCCGGAGTTTCACCGGAGTTCAACCAAGAAGAGTAGAACTTCATAACGCTAGTTCAAGGTGAGTGGACGGCTTAATATCTTATAACTTTTGGGTTAATTACAAGATTACCTAAATAAATGTTATATGAATTCATAATGATGTTTAAAAGATATTTAAGCATGTGATTAGCCAATAAGGTTAAATTTGTATGAAAGAAATAGATTGTTTATGCATAGAATATGATATGAAGAATTATATAAAATGCATATTTGCTTGAAGTGTATCCGAAGCACAAATGAATATTTTAACTTAATTATGTGATGATTAAGTTGATTTGTACAAGGTTTGAAATGGCGGTCGACGACCACGTTGACCGGTGGATAATGGATTAATTAATACCGATCGATATTAATTAATCATACATTTACATAATTGCATGGCCTTGCATGGAAAGTGATACATAAGTTTTATGTATTGAATTAGTTATGAATGACTAAATATGATATAGACCCTATCTAGTGTGATATGTGGTAAGTCATAGGTCGGGTGGAGTACCCAAGGATTGGGCGGTTATCCTCAAAACTCGGTTATTTAGGGTGGAGTACCCAAGGATCGGGCGGTTATCCTCAAAACTCAGTTATTTAGGGTGGAGTACCCAAGGATCGGGCGGTTATCCTCAAAACTCGGTTATATAGGGTGGAGTACCCAAGGATCGGGCGGTTATCCTCAAAACTCGGTTATAGGGTGGAGTACCCAAGGATCGGGCGTGTATCCTCAAAACTCATAGACTACATTTAATGATCTAGGACCGGGCGGTGTCCTTATGATAATTTATTTGAACAAGGAGGAGTCCTATACACTCATAGGTATATGGGTGGGTTGGGATTTGAGTCAAGGATATTGGCTACTATTATTTTCCCAAATAAACAATGACCTACGGGTCAGGTATTTCTAAGTGTATGTATACTAATATGTATTTCAAACTTGGGGAAAGGACTATACATATATGTATCACCCTATGTTTGGGTCTTATACTTGAAACGCTAGTTATTCTATATTTAGCCTGCTACTCGCTCGGTACTTGTACTGACCCCTTCGGGGGGCCCCACCATTTTCAGGTTGAAGCTAGGGCTTGCTACCTGCACCTTTCTACGGGTGACATCAAGTCAAGGAAGACGTGGTTCGTGCTTCCTCATTTCCTTTCAAATGACTAAGCATTGCTCATGGATATTTTTATTTGTTATAAACTACTTTTGGGGCTTGCATGCCCATGTTGTTGGCCGGTTGTGGATTATGACTTACCGTTGAATATTTCCGCTATTCATTGGTTTAAGTGTGATGTTGTTATGTATGTTTACTACTGAGTATGGATGGATTATATTCTCGAACGCCTTGTGTAATTAAGTGAGGTTGACTCGCGGGTGACGTCACTTGATTATATGGCGGTTGTACACGCGCTTGGATCGCGGTTCGGGGCGTGACATTAAAACTTCCGTGTAAAACATAAGTAACTCATAGGACTCCTATTTGGAGTACTTTCTATGTTTTACTCCCATATTGGGAATTCTCTCAAAGGTTTTCTGTAGTCGGAAATATTTTCTTGGGGACAACGTTTACGCGACTCGAGTTGTATATCATTCTCTAACGCTTTTTGCAGGTTTATCTGGCCCAATTTGTCGAACAGCTCAGATCTTCCACAATGGGACAAAGAAAGTATATGAGCGCCACCACATCACTCAAAAATGTTTTCACTTCTATTGATATTTTGTAATATTTAGTATAGCTTGTGTTTTGTTTGATTTGGTATGATAATGTCACATATTATGGGGTTGTTTGGTGGTCGGGGTGAAAAACCTGGAAAACAAACATCTCCTATATGTATTTCACTTTTTGTTAATCCAATTTGATGTGAATATGTTTACTTTTCATTTATTTGGATAATTGGATCTCATCGAAAATGGGAACAATTGATGTGAAAATATCTGATTATTACCACATTAAGTCAAAAGTCTTCGGACAGGGCGTAAAATAAGACGGCAGGGGCGACGTCATATACCCCTTCATTAATGATTTTCAGCTCCTCTTCCTCGTCCCCAACATTTCATTCACCCCAATACCCTATCTTCATTGTTCCACCACAAATTTCTGCAGCAAAATGGACGGGATGAACTCCACCGCCGTCCACGGCCACAGTCACCTGATGCACATGACGTTCTTCTGGGGGAAGAACGCCGAGATCCTCTTCTCCGGATGGCCGGGATACGGCAATCACGGGATGTATATATTCTCTCTGGCCGTCGTTTTCGCCTTATCGGTTCTAGTGGAGTGGTTATCGAATTCCAACTCCTACTTAGAAGACTGCGGGAATCGATTGGCCGCGGCGATGCTCCAGACGGCGGTGTACGTGGTCAGAATCGGTCTGGCGTATATTGTGATGCTGGCGGTGATGTCCTTCAACGGCGGCGTGTTCCTCGTTGCCGTCGCCGGCCACGCGCTCGGGTTCTTCCTCTTCGGGAGCGTGGCGTTCAAGGAGCATCCGGTAACTTCATACGTAAAGAGATCTGATCTCGCCCCCATGGAATTGTAACAAGAAAAAGTGTTTGTGTATTGTATTGTGATAATAATCAATTAAGTTTTTTCTATTTATGATCGATGAATACTATAATTTTGGGAAGTGATGTGTGTTTTCTCGCACTTAAAATAGTTGTAGAAAAGTGGTTGAAAGTACGAGTATCGTCTCCACAGGGACGGACAAAAGGGAATTAAAGATTAACTAAATTCAGCGATTAAACAGAAATAAATAAATTAAAATGCGATGTGCGAGATTGGTTGGTTGAATTAAAAATAAAACTAATGCTAATGAGCGATGAAAATAAAAGATTGGTTTCTTCTCAATTAACGACGAAGGGAACAGGAATTGATTCCGGGGTAACCAGATCTCTGGCAGATCAGGCCTAATTACATGAATTTAATTTAATTGAGCCTAGCTAATCATTACTAAGTTCTTACCGCTCTCGCGGCGTAGAGTACAATAATTTAGGGGTCCAGGCTGATCTCTCATGCGACAAGATCCTAAATTATTGCCAAAACGAACGAGCTTACAGCCCCTTAATCGCTACTAATCTCTTAGCGAACGATTAAGTGTGTGTGAATGTGTCCTAGAACAAATTAGATCTCTCTTAATTTATTCTATAAGCAATTGTAATTCTAGTGGCCATCTAGGTTACAAGAGATATCAATTAAATTATTCAAACACAAATTAAACGGCATTCATGCAATTAAACCGACAAGAATCTAGCCATCAATCATGATTAACCCCTTCATCAACCCCAAATCCCTAATTAAACTACTCACAATTCATAATTGAAGAATCAACAGAATTGAGATGAATAGAAATAATTGTCATTAATTAAAAAAAATGAACTTACAAATAATCCCAGGGTCTTGGAGTAAACAATCGTAAAAACGCAAGTAAATTCGTCCCTAGGCCTCTCCGTAATGTTCGTAACCCCTAAAAAGGGTTAGGGAGGCCTTATTTATAGAAAAAGGGGAAAAAAAACCGATTTTGGGCCGAAATAGGATTTGTCCGCGCGTGTCACGGGGCTACGCACGATCGTGCGTCCCTGCCTACGCACGATCGTGCGTAGCAGGCAGACGCCTCATCGCGGTTCCGTAATGGACGCACGATCGTGCGTCCCAGACGCACGACCGTGCGTCTGACTTTTTCGCTCCGTTTTCTCGTTTTCTTGCTCCAAACGTGCCCGGATTCAAACGAGGTCGATCCCAATGCTCTTTCTTCATCAAAATTTCGCCGTGAATCACCTGGTGACCTCCAAATCTCTCAATTCTTCCTTGAATGCTCTCTATCTCCTCCCGATTGTCTCTTTCGCGCCGATTGCCGGACTCTAACTTCTTCAAATCAACTCCAAATGCAACGAAACTCGATCCAACGCCTGCTAAACACAACTTGAGCCAAATTTGAGACTTGTAACGCCTTAAAGCCGAGAAACTCATCAAAATCCGACCCGGACACGCATCAAATGCGTGTCTAAATACGGACTTATCAGACTCCCCCACACTTAAGCTTTTGCTTGTCCTCAAGCAAATCGAACATCGGGACTTACGATAATCACCACACGGAATTTAAAACAGTTAGCATACACATGTAGTTAAAGGGATATTCACAGGACAGACAGTTTAAATCAAGAAAATCCTTCCCTAAACTACGCCTTTGTACTCAAGCTAAACTATTTGACACAATTATTCACAACATCCTCAAAGTAATGACAGCATACACAAATAAACTAGTTATTGATCAGAAGGACTTGTGAAGGTGATAATGGATGGATAATAATAATAGTCCCTTTATTTTGAGAGATCGGAATATTCTAACAAAGACTCAATGCATTCAGGAACTTCAGGGCTATTCTTAGGGTCAAGGAACTCAGTAGGCCACAATTTAGGAACAATCATTTAAACCTATGCAAAGAGTAGACATGGTGTACAACTAAGCTAAACCGTCTCGGCACATTTGTGCTTTGACGTATACTTGAAGTACGCGGAGGACTAAAGCTAATTTTTGAGATAGCCTCCAAGTTTATTAATTAAATTCAGTTTCCCTTGTCATGTTGGCACGAGAACGCCGTTTCTTTCGAAAGATACCCAAGTCTCATCTTACGCTTTTTGACCGGGGCTCCCATTCTCTTTTTCGCAAAGTAAGAGGTCTAGCTATATTAATTTTTCACCTTTCGGATTCTCACTAGACATTACCCCATTCTAATCTCGGCCTCACCAAGGAAAAATAGCAATTAAAGTTCATTAATTTAAAAGTGAATCCATGCCTACAATGCAATCCTCGAAAGTATCAAATTCCTAAAAAGTGACTGCTCTTACCCTATTTGGGGCATAGGAACAATGCCAAAAATGGCTCCTACACAAATTCCCTAAACTTATCAAATTAATCCCTTAATTCCCTAAACATCAAGACTAAGTCAGAAATATTCATGGGCAAAGAAATAGGCCATTTGGCTATGGAGCTCAATTAATTGGGTAACAAAGAACAGTCAGGCTCAAAATGGCTTCTCCTAAAGGGTTCTTTCAGGTGGGGTGGATGATTAATGGAGAATTCAATGGGTGACTAATGCCTTCATCCTCTCAACACCTAGATTATAGTGCAAGCAATTTAAGCCTAAACACTTCAAAGATGTTCTAAAAGCATAGTCAAAACGCTAGCCAGCTCACAAAGACACAGTTTAAAGGAAAATTTTTCAAAAATTTTAACATGATTTTTCTATGAATATACAACTAACACCTGCGCATGCTAACTCTAATAATCACATGTAACAACTACTGCCCGAATGCCCAATTCACTCCCCCACACTTAAACTTTGACATCGTCCTCGATGACAAAAAATGCACTATGCACAAGGGGGTAAAGAGGATAGGGTCACGCGTGCTCAACTTAACTCAAGTCAATTATTACAAACAGGCGATTATTAGAGTCACAGAAACTTCCCTAAGGCGTTGGTCGGTGCAGAACTAAACTGAGTCAATGTAATCCTCGGCACATCATCCCTATAACAAGACCCTGAGCTGAAACAAAAACACAAAGCAAAACAACCAAACAACAAACAAAGCAAAAGCGAAAACAAAAGCAGAATTACGCTCGGGTTGCCTCCCGAGAAGCGCTATTTTTAACGTCGTGTGCCCGACGATACCTCGTAAGCTCTCAAATACAAAAGACTGTAATGGTGCACTAGTAATCAACGTTTCCAGCTTCCCCTCAACAAATGCCATTAGGTGGCGCAGATTCTTAAATTCTCGAATATGCGTAGGCAGCACATGGTCTTCATAATCCTCATCAGCAGCACAAAAGTGAAGGATGAAACTCTCATCCTCTTCAGGTGGATAGGAAACATGAGTGAGAACTTTGATTACTTTAGGTATCACTGGAAGCTCAAAAGATGTCTCGAAGCAAAGATTAGGAGCAACACCGTGATCGAAGTGCACCATAGAAAAGTCTTTTTCTTCTCCACAAACAACATGAACATTCGCAACCTCTCCTCCAAACTCTGTATCACTCTCCATGAATGCATCCCAATTCGTTTCGTCACTCTTCTTATTAATATCCTCCAAGCAGTTGTGATCATTCTCCACACACAAAGAAATATCATCACCAAGGAATGGATCAAAGAAATCCAAATCTGAAACCACGTAAGAGTGGACCGGTGCATGTGTACAAGAAGGGAATTCTTGCTTGTGGAGCGGAACTTCTTCATTATGGACATCATCTACCTCGCCCCCACTCTCTTGGAGCATGTGATCATCTTTTCCCAACTCATCTTCAGTACCCAAACCTACCTCAGTAGCACAATCATCAAGACTGATCTTCTCCTTTCCCTCCTCAGATGCTGAGACTAATGGTAAATCAAATGGCTGGGGAGTTTCTGTATGAAAATCACAGTGATCAGTGACTTCATCAGTTACAACTTGTACCGTTTGAAACTTTTTCCTGTATTCTTGGAAAAACAACTTAACACTACTATCTTCTTCATCATCTTCAACCATAGGTGGGTCTTCAAAGGCATCAAGAAGTGTATCATCCATCATGTTCCCACTATCATAGTCTGACTCGCTCACGTGATCATCCATATTGGTCTCCTCGGGTTGAGCGTCTGTGTCGCTAGGATAAGATCTCTCGGACTCCTCAGATAAAGCCTTTCTAATCTGCCCTAATTGATTCTCCATGTTCTGCCTCCTTGTGTTTGCTTGCTGTTGAATTGCCATGCTCGCCTCAATTTCTTGCATGAATTGCTTGAGTGTTTCTTCCAGGTGAGACAGCTTCTCTGAAATTATCTCTTCCACTTCATCCTGTGGTTCATAGCTCGGCAAAGACGTAGGAGTGATTGAAACATTTGTGTTCGTAAATTGTGGGGAGGAAGAAGTGGGGTATGCAGTTTCCTGGAAAGGATGGTCATATAGAGGTTTGATGGGGCAAAGACATAAATGGTGATCTCCTCCACAGAAAGAACAAATGCTATCCTTAAAACATTCAGATATTTCCTCAGGCGTTTTATTTAGAAGCATAAATTCAAGAATGGAGCCTCGTCTTACGCTTACCCAAGGGTAATGTGATGAAGGATAGTAAAAATCAGAATGAAAGAGTTGTGTGGTTGGAGTGTATGGATAAGAAGGCTGAATATTTTGTGGTGTAGGAGAGTAATTTTGATGAGGTGAGTAATATTGAGGAGGAGGAGGAGGAGTGTAAGGAGGGTATGACGTATATGGTGAATATTCCATGGAGGTTTGAGGGTAAGGAATTCCTCCAGGAATTTGGCTGAATAGGTTCATCTCATGCCTCTTTGAAAAATACCTGAAAGGTTAGCACAGAAAAAAAAATCCTACGAAGAACTAAAAAAAAAAAAACTAACTAAAAAAAATCTCGCTGAAATTAATTAACCCTTAAAACCGACACCGTCCCCGGCAACGGCGCCAAAAACTGATGTGTGTTTTCTCGCACTTAAAATAGTTGTAGAAAAGTGGTTGAAAGTACGAGTATCGTCTCCACAGGGACGGACAAAAGGGAATTAAAGATTAACTAAATTCAGCGATTAAACAGAAATAAATAAATTAAAATGCGATGTGCGAGATTGGTTGGTTGAATTAAAAATAAAACTAATGCTAATGAGCGATGAAAATAAAAGATTGGTTTCTTCTCAATTAACGACGAAGGGAACAGGAATTGATTCCGGGGTAACCAGATCTCTGGCAGATCAGGCCTAATTACATGAATTTAATTTAATTTAGCCTAGCTAATCATTACTAAGTTCTTACCGCTCTCGCGGCGTAGAGTACAATAATTTAGGGGTCCAGGCTGATCTCTCATGCGACAAGATCCTAAATTATTGCCAAAACGAACGAGCTTACAGCCCCTTAATCGCTACTAATCTCTTAGCGAACGATTAAGTGTGTGTGAATGTGTCCTAGAACAAATTAGATCTCTCTTAATTTATTCTATAAGCAATTGTAATTCTAGTGGCCATCTAGGTTACAAGAGATATCAATTAAATTATTCAAACACAAATTAAACGGCATTCATGCAATTAAACCGACAAGAATCTAGCCATCAATCATGATTAACCCCTTCATCAACCCCAAATCCCTAATTAAACTACTCACAATTCATAATTGAAGAATCAACAGAATTGAGATGAATAGAAATAATTGTCATTAATTAAAAAAAATGAACTTACAAATAATCCCAGGGTCTTGGAGTAAACAATCGTAAAAACGCAAGTAAATTCGTCCCTAGGCCTCTCCGTAATGTTCGTAACCCCTAAAAAGGGTTAGGGAGGCCTTATTTATAGAAAAAGGGGAAAAAAACCGATTTTGGGCCGAAATAGGATTTGTCCGCGCGTGTCACGGGGCTACGCACGATCGTGCGTCCCTGCCTACGCACGATCGTGCGTAGCAGGCAGACGCCTCATCGCGGTTCCGTAATGGACGCACGATCGTGCGTCCCAGACGCACGACCGTGCGTCTGACTTTTTCGCTCCGTTTTCTCGTTTTCTTGCTCCAAACGTGCCCGGATTCAAACGAGGTCGATCCCAATGCTCTTTCTTCATCAAAATTTCGCCGTGAATCACCTGGTGACCTCCAAATCTCTCAATTCTTCCTTGAATGCTCTCTATCTCCTCCCGATTGTCTCTTTCGCGCCGATTGCCGGACTCTAACTTCTTCAAATCAACTCCAAATGCAACGAAACTCGATCCAACGCCTGCTAAACACAACTTGAGCCAAATTTGAGACTTGTAACGCCTTAAAGCCGAGAAACTCATCAAAATCCGACCCGGACACGCATCAAATGCGTGTCTAAATACGGACTTATCAGGAAGTTTCATATTCATCACAGAATCTAGGCATCTGAATCATCTTTAGTTTGCTGCCGAATTTTGAATTTCTCCGGTAAATCAGAGTGTACTCAGACCGGAATGTGAACCGCCGGAGTTGGTCTGACCGTCTGAGCAACCTTAGAATCAAAATCCTTTGATTGAAATGTTAATTGCCACAATGCCCTTGTTCACATTTTTATTGCTCTCAAAAGGCATCCGATTTTAATTTTTTTTGATCATCAACTAACCACTTGTATTAACTATTAATTAATGAAATCATTAGCCAAATGGCTTACAATACAGTCTGGAGCAACATCATAAACACTCCTGTGATCTGAGAGTAAAACATGCGCTCTAGCCAGAGAATGAGTTACACGATTCACAGATCATTTAAAAAAAGAGACTCTATAATTACTCTTTGTTAAAAGGATTTCTTTAATATCTTCCAAAATTAAATCAATGTAAGAAAAACCTCCTCCTTGTCGAAGGCCTTGGACTACAGAAAGTGCGTCTGTCTCGAACTCCACGCTCTGCCAGCCTGCTGCAACCGCCTCCTCTAAAGCTTCCCTGAGCCCTGCCGCTTCTGTTTCTGCTGGGGACCAACTTGCCCTAACTGAGGCACCTCCTGCCTTAAGAAAATTCCCCTGCTCATCCCTTGCCACCCAGCCCCATGCTCTCTTATCTCCACTCGGGTCAAACGCAGCATCTACATTCACTTTGACAACACCCCTACCCGGTCTACGCCATACCTGCTCTCTGCCACCACCAGCCCTCTTCTTCGGCTGACTGCTTGACTGTTGGGCCTCCCTCCAATTGGTAATCATGCTCATAGCACTGGTTATGACTCCTGCCGCCCCCTGCCATTCCGCCTTCCAGATTAGAGAATTCCGTCTTTTCCACAAGCCCCATAAAAGTGCAACAAATTTGCTTTTATGGTCATTTGTGGCAATCCTTAGCTGTTGCTTAATCCAATCCTGCACCTGTAAAACATCAGCAGCTCTAGTCACACCCGCCTGCTGCCACACTTCATGGGCATATTCACACTCCCAGAAAACATGCTCCAAGTTCTCGGCCTCCCTACCGCACAACTTACATTCCTCAGTAATCTGGACTCCCTTCTTCCTCAAATTATCCACAGTAGGTAATGATCCATCTAGTACCTGCCAAACAAAATATTTAAATTTAGGTGGTACCTCAAGCTCCCATAATTTAGTCCAGCTATCTGCTTCTCCAGATGGTGACAAATAAGTGAGCTTCCTGTAACAACTCTTTACAGAAAAATTGCCATTATTTTCCCCCGTCCACCAAAAACCACCCCTCCTGTCTGCCGAACTGATAGGTATACTTAAAATTAAATCTCTATCAACCGCATCAAAAATAGATGTAATTCTCTCCCTATTCCATTCCTTGCCTGTATAATTTCTCAAGGCCGGTACATTCATATCTTGAACACCCGGAGGTCTGGCTGATTGGATTCGGACCGACCCCTGCCCCGGCAACCAAGCATCTGCCCAAACATGTATATCTCTGCCATTCCCGACCCTCCGACGAATATTATTTTTCAAAATCTCCTGGGTCTCAAACAAACTTCGCCAAATAAAAGACAGGTTATTCCCAAGCCTAGCATTCAAGAAATCAGTGTTTGGAAAATACCTTGCCTTTAACACCCTACTCATTTAGCTTCCCAAATCTGTTACCAGTCTCCACCCTTGCTTAGCTAGCATTGCCAAATTAAATTCTCTGAGTCTGCGAAAACCCAAACCCCCTTCTTTCTTCGGCCTACAAAGGAGCTCCCATCTGCGCCATCGTATCCCCTTCTGATCAAATTTATTGCCTTTCCACCAAAATCCATTCATAAGCTTTTCCATCTCATCACATAAATCTTTTGTCAGTAAAAAAACATTCATTGCATAAGTAGGGAGAGCTTGTGTCACGCCCCGGACCTCCCCAGACACGTCAACAACCCGCCGTACAATATGAATAGTCAACCGCAGTCCAACACATTCATATTATACAAGGCGTCTTGAATATCATTCACACATATAACATCCATAAACATACATAATAAGTAATTTAATACGCAGCGGAAAACATAGTTTGAAATCAAATGCCACACGGGGCAAACATGAGCACGCAGGCTCTAAAGTAAAATGTCCATGAGCAAATTTATTAATGTTCAAATCAGAATGGAGGAAGCACGAACCAAGTCTTCTCTCCGGGAAATCACTCGATCAACGAGCACAGGGAGCAAGCTCTAGCCTCAACCTGAAATGGTGGTGGGACGCCCCCGAAGGGGTCAGTACTCTATAGGGCTATAAAGTACTGGTGTGGATGGCATCTAAGGGATATACCACAAGTATTTCAAACATAAGACCCTCAAATAGGGTGATAGTACGATATGACTGTAACCTCAAGTTACCCCATTTAAAAATATACTTACTTTATATAAAAGTCAAGTAGTCGGCCCGTAGGCCCATATTTATTTAGAAATCACCATTTCCCATTCCCCGTGATTACTAGTCACAACAACTCATAGAGTACATCATATTACCGTTGCATAGCAAGGGCTCGGCCCAACTACATTTCTATGCAATCCTTTATGTCAAGTACATCCTATCACATTTGCATCCTATCACATTTGCATAGCAAGGGCTCGGCTGTAACACCCCGGCCCCACCAGACCAGAGGTAGTTACTCCGGACCAATAGTACTGTCCCCACAAATCACCACGAGAAACTTCCCAGGGGGGTCACCCATCCCAAGACTACTCCCGTGCAAGCACGCTTAACTTTGGAGTTCTTGGGTGATGAGCTCCCTTAAAAGAAGATGCACCTCTATTGGTATGAGTAGTACTATTAATCCGTTTATATTAAATCTCAAGTGTTACATCGGCCCAACTACATTTCTATGCAAATCACAATTTACATGGCAAGGTCTCGGACCAACTACATTTTCATGCAAATCACAATTTACATGGCAAGGTCTCGGACCAACTACATTTCCATGCAAATCACAATTACATCCTATCACATTTGCATAGCAAGGGCTCGGCCCAACTACATTTCTATGCAAATCACAATTTACATCCTATCACATTTGCATAGCAAGGGCTCGGCCCAACTACATTTCTATGCAAATCACAATTTACATCCTATCACATTTGCATAGCAAGGGCTCGGCCCAACTACATTTCTATGCAAATCACAATTTACATGGCAAGGTCTCTGACCAACTACATTTCCATGCAAATCATAGAGTCCGGCTCTAACTCCTCATGATAGTCCAATTCCTAAGCAAACCTATGCCTAGAATTGACATCTCAAATATCTACCTTGGTCATTCTTAATGACTGCCCATAACTTACCCTTAGCTTCATACTAAGTCATTTTATACACTTGAAGTACATTCAAGTGCATTTCATACAATCCAATACTTAGGATCAATTCTATCAACAACTTCAAATAATCACTAACTAGTATTTCAATACTATTAAGATTATTGTCATCATACAAATATCCTCATTTTGTAATTCTCTACATATTTATAAGTATGTAGCAGCAACTTAAGTACTCAATTTCAATACGTAAATATTCATTTATGTATCCACATAATTCATACATGAGTAAAATGCCTATTTCACAAAATAGTTCATTTATAACTCAATTAATCTCATGTTATTCATACAATCTCAAACCATTTCCAATTTCATTCTTTGTCAACTATATCAATAGTTCACAAATATTTAAGCATCATAATCCATGAAAAATTATGATTTAGGCATTTAGGTAATCTCATGCTTAACCTACAAGTTGTAAGCAATTAGATGTCGATCCTCACCTCAAATGAGCTTTAAACCTTTCCTTCTTGATCCAATGGACAAAGCTTCGGTCAAGGTGGATTATGAACTGATTCCTTGCTTAGAAATGAGTGTTAAACAGCCTCCTCAAAGTGCTAGTTCAACCCCTAACCGTTGATACGAAAACAGCCCCTAGAATGAGTGTTTTCCGGCTAACTCGTTTCCTAGTTTTCCAAGATTTGCTCTAGGTTAGTATCTAACCTTTACATCAATAAAATAACCTTATGAGGACATATTATACACTTGGAGTAGTGTATAATAGTTCCACCAATCGTTCATATCATTTGGAAAATGAAAAGTAATGTTTTGGGGTTAACACTCACTTTAGGAGAGTAAATCCGTTCCTGCGAGGTTGTGTTTTGCTCGGACAATTTGGAAGCCTTCCACTACTTCGATTGATGCAAACCAGACCTTCACGGATTCCTAGTCTTGAGAGATTTATTTTGGTATCTCGCACGCCTTATTTGGATTGGTATAACTTGAGATATCAACCAAACAGCCTCAACACTCTCACTGCTCGAGTTTACAGACAACAGTTCACTCCAGCTCGATTTTTGTATGATAAACTCTCCCCTATCGCACAGAGACCACTAAAATGTGAAACTAGACTTCAAAGGCTATCCAAGGACACCTTATAAACCTCATTTGGACGAGTACAACTCCCTTTAAGGAGGGAGACAAACCACACCCATGATTTGTGCGGAAATTGACAAGGTGGGTCTCAAGTTTGATTCCAATCAAGTCTTGTGCAGCTCTCCTCCAGCTTGTGCGGCCAAGGTAAGTCTCCTCACTCATTTTTCTTGTCTTGCAGGTACTCAAATCATGTGGAGTGCTTCCCAATTGATCCCAATCAATTTGGGGTCCAAAATATCTACCAGTACTTCCAAAAATGGAAAGATGGGTCCTATTGTTTTATCTTTGTCAAAAGATGTCTTTTTGTACACATTGTAATATATATCGACCAAGTCAACTCCCTACATCATATTATTGATCTCCAATATGTGTAGGATCATCCCAATAATTTACATGATGAATATTATAGAAGAAACAACCTACTCCCATTATTTAGCTCAATAATGCCAAAGATGGGACCATAGGCATTTGTATTCTTCTCTAATCATTCTATCACTTATTTTGACATTGTCATTCATATTATTGGACTACTAGTCATGTGGGTCACCCCGAGTGGGCCTACGACGCCATTCTTGAATACTTGCTATTTTTAGCAGGTTGGGCCCAAAATAAAGTTTGGGCCGCCCGACCTTCCTCAACTTGTCTTGAAAGGTTATGTAACATTATTTAGGTAATGTTGGGCTCTTATGTTCATTAATAAGGGCCAAATAAGTATTTGCAAACCCGACACTAATATACGAGTTTCAACAGTACAATAATCAATCATGTGCTACGTAAAACATTAATCGTTTTACAATTGTTTGAAAGTCGGAAATTCAATACATAAACTTTGAATTTTAAATTGAATTTTTCAAGGACGTTCGGGTGCGGTGTCACAACTTGTACCACATTACGAATTAGAACCGCCCGTCCAGCTCTGGAGAGGAATTTATTGTTCCAGTTTTTTATCCTGTTCAATATTCGATCTCGCAGGTAGCCCAGGATAGCAGATTTATTCCTCCCTACTAACGTTGGCAGCCCCAAATAACGACTCTGACCTCCCTCCCTTGGAATCCCGAAAAACTGACAGCATGCATCTTTTACAGGCTCTTCTACATTCTGGCTGAATGACAGAGAAGACTTAGTAAAATTAATAACCTGTCCAGATCTCGCTCGTAGTCCTGCAGAATATTTTTAATCACAGTACATTCGGCATTATTAGCTTTGAAAAATAAAAAGCTATCATCTGCGAACAAATGATGAGATATTTTTGGTGCCCCTCTACACACAACGACTCCATGGATAAATCCCCTTTCCTCCACTCTTCTGAGTAAGGAACTCAAACCCTCTGCTACCATAATAAACAAATAGGGGGATAGAGGGTCCCCCCGCCGCAGTCCTCTCTCAGGAAAAATAGGTCCCAGTAAATCCCTATCAAATTGAATATAATAGCTGACCGTCGTCACACACTCCATAACCAGCGACACCCATTTGCTATCAAAACCCAGAGATTCCAAACAACTTTTCAAAAAGTTCCAACTAAACCGATCATAGGCTTTACTCATATCTAACTTCATAGCCACATAACCTTCCTTTCCATAATTTTTCCTCTTCAAATAGTTTTGTGTTTCAAAAGCCACAACCACATTATCAACTATAGACCTGCCTAGAATAAACGCACTCTGGTTTTCACCAATCAAGTCTCCAAGAATACTCTTCAACCGATTAGCCAAAACTTTAGAGAAAATTTTATAAATCACATTACACAGGGCTATTGGCCTCCAGTCACCCATATTTTCCGGCTTATCTTTCTTAGGAATTAGAACTAAATTAGTAAGATTTAATTCCTTTGAAAGAGAACCGGAATCAAAAATACCTGAACATAAGCGTGATACTTCGGGACCCACAATGTCCCAATAAGCCTGGAAGAATGCCGGGTTCATGCCATCTGAACCTGGTGCTTTTTCGGGATGCATATCAAACACAGCAGACTTCACCTCTTCCGGGCTAATAGGCCGTAACAGCATTCTGTTCTGACTAGATTTCACCCGATTTCTAAAAGACATCACCTCTGTCGCTCTCGCCTCAGCCTGTGCCTGAAAAATCTTTGTGAAATACTCTGTCACCATGTCACCTACTTGACCATGATCAGTAATCCATTCTCCTCCTTCCGTTTTGTAAGGAATAAATGTATTTAGATTTTGATGATGCTAGATTAATGAGAACATTAGAGTACCCGCATTTAATGATGTATTAGAATTTGCTTCTAAGTGTAAGCATCTTAGTATAATCGACAGACAGAAGACCCTCAGGTCCTCTGTTAGCCGTTTGCCCCTCAGAAGTACCTATGGTATTCTGTTGGACTTTCTATAGTCAGAAGAGCTCGAGACCCTCTGTAAACCAGCAGAAGATCAGACACTTGGAAGTATTTGACAACTAGAACAACCGAATACTTCAACAGAAGATTCCCTCAACGGCTAGCTTATACTCAACGGAAATGCTACAGGACTGCATTTAATGCTCATTTAATGAGCTCCATGCTCCGAAGAGTAAAAGCTGATGATTGACCGAGATTCCTGGAAAGCCTATCCCAAAATAGCAAGCCGCCAAACTTGCGGGCCCAGCCGGTCAACTCAAACTGTACGCGCATTTAATGTAGTTGTCTCCTCCTCCAACGGGAAGACAACCTCAGTATAAAAGATACTATTCGGAGAACAACCATGTAACTTTGCCACAACTTGTGCTCTAATTACAAAAAGCCTTCTTGAGATTCAACACTCCAACTCCATCAACAAGAAAGGCCTACGTTGGGAAGATCATAAGTTCATATACTCTTCATCACCAACAAGGGCAAAGTTCCTATTGTTCTTCAACTCTTCAAGCACCTCATTACAAATCTTTTGTGACGAAGCAAGTTGGAGAAAACTCTGTTTTCAACAGAACATCTTCTGAAAAGAAGGACGTCTTAAAGTAGCTCGAGTAGTGAAGTGGAGATACTTCGAGGAGACTCAGTGAAACAAGACCAGTCTTAAAGGAAGCAAGGAAGTGCATCCCAGGAGACATCTAGACTTGAAGAAGACGTGGAGAGCTTCTTAAGTTCTAGGGACTAAGGCGTTGTAATCGTTGTTTTACAAGCTTAGTGGAACAGTGGATTAGAGGAACGAGTTGTTCCTTGAACCACTATAAAAATCCCTGGTCTCATTTACTTACTGCTTTTATTACTTGCAAACTGATTAACTCCAAAGAAGTGGTATCTGTGTTCGGCAGAACACCTCTTGTGAGTTAATAGAAGGCCAAGTGCCTTTACTCCTCTGTGAGGCTAACCCGACAGAACACCTATACTTAGACCATCCGCTGCCAGTCTGTTCTAGACAGAACAGACTCTCTGTTATAATTAAGACTTAACTTGAAAAACTTAAAAACCATAATAGTCTATTCACCCCCCCCCTCTAGACTATTACCTCGTTAACCGGGACCAACACGTTTTTAGCCCCATTATTTTATTTTTCCTCCGCCTCTGCTTCACCGCATTATGAAAAAAACGGGAATTGATGTCCCCTTCTTTCAGCCAGAATTCTTTAGCCCTTTGTTTCCAGTACAAGTTCTCCTTCTCCATAAGAGTACAAAGAGTGGCTCGCAGTCTAATGAATTTAGCCGTACTATGTCGGTCCTCTCAACCTCGAAGCCAAGCTAGTCTACGCTTGCATGCCATGATTTGATGTCGAAATCCCCTCTTCTTCCCTGCCTCCCACCGCAACAATTCTTTCCCACAAAAATAAATGTTTTCGGGCACCGTTAAATTAGTACTCGCTCCCCAGCTACTAGCAACAACTGTCCTACACTCTTCTTCTCTCAGCCAATTATTTTCAAATTTAAATTTCTTTTTCCTTCTCCCATGAGTCGTAGGCACAACAGAAATACACAACGCCATATGGTCACTTATCGGTGCCTCCACCGAGGTAGCTTGGGCTGCCATGAATCTATTCCACCATTCATCATTGACCAGGATACGGTCTAATTTTTCCTCGACACAGTGCAACGTACCTTTCCCTCTTTCCCACGTCCATTGGTATCCCATGAACAGGAAATCCCTTAATCCACACTCCTCAACACAATCCCGGAAGCCACGTAATCTCCATCTCGGGTGCGGTATACATCCTTTCTTCTCCGAATCATATAAAATGTCGTTAAAATCCCCGATAACCATCAAAGGCCCTTGCTGCATGTCTGCCAAGTCCCGGAGGAGCGCCCATGACTCCCGTCTTCTAATTGTTTCCGGAAATCCGTAGAAGCACGTAAGTCTCCACGTCCCCTCATTCGGCGCAAGCTTAACCAAAACGTCTACATATGTGGCCTGCACATCATTCACAGTGACCTCTGAATCATCATTCCATCCCAACACTATCCCCCGCTTTGGCCTACACTATCCGCACCACAACTGTAAAAATAGCCTTGCGATCGTAGGATGTCCTTCGCTCGTTGACATCGCACTTTTGTCTCCATCAAGAACAATATTGACGGACAATGGCTTTGCACAATATCCGCCACGCCTTGAATTGTTGCCAAATTGCCCAAACCTCTACAGTTCCAACTCAAAATGCTCATAATAATACTAGTCAAAAGGATAACACCTTCTGGGGATCTATCCTTGGAAAGTATACGAAGCAACACAAGAGGCCTCAAACAAGCCACCCGCCCTAGCCTCTGGAATGCACAAAACCACAAACACTCCCCTGAATCTAGATCCAATCCTTTCCTGCCAAATCAGAACCCAAGCTCACACACAGACCGAAGAAAACCTACCTCAAGTCAAACAAATAAACCACCAATCGATTTTGCATAAGCAAAGCTCAACCAAGACACCGGACACGAGCGAGTCGGCCGGAAAAGACGTCGTACACGAGCGAGTCGGCCGGAAAAGACGTCGGACACGAGCGAGTCGGCCGGAAAAAAGATGCCGGACACGAGCGAGTCGGCCGGAAAAAGATGCCGGACACGAGCGATTCGGCCGGAAAGAAAACCCCTATTTGGTTTTGATTCGTATTTGTATTCTTTAAATAAAAGAAATATGCATCCGATTTTAAATTTTAAATTTGTTATCGATGTGTTTTTATGAAAACTTATTTCAGACCAAATTTAAACATATCACATTAAACCTGGTTAGAATTTAGCAGATCAAGAGTCATCAAACTAGACTTCGACGATAGTTGCAAGATACTAAGAGCATCTTCAATGCTAAAATGTGCACGGTGCACATGTGGTATGAGTGATAGCCACATAAATATTAGCAAATAAATTGTCTCTCCTTATTTGAATAATTTTATACAATTTTGGTAAGTTTTTCCCTGCAATGTCAACTGCAATGTCAATATCTAGACGATCTCCATGACATTGCGGAGAAAAACTTACCAAAAATGTATAAAATCATTCAAATAAGGAGAGAAAGAATTTATCTACTAATATTTATGTGGTTATCTCTCATGCCACGTCTACACCGTGCACATTGTACCATTGGAGATGCTTAAGGGACCATACACTTACCATATTGATCTAAACCAATTCGGACAAAACTTTAAAAGACGAGACCAAATTTGAAAATTTTAATCCAAATAAAATCTGAGTTTTTTCTATATTATTGCTAAAAATTAAAATATTTACGAAATTGATGTAGGTTAAAATTATTTACGACAATACTGCTGAAGTTAATCATAGTTGCGAGAATCCCAAATGGCGACTTTCCTCCATCTTAAAAAATTCACTTTTTCTTTAAAGTGCTCTATCTTTTACATTTTTGTTTCAACATTTTAAAAAATATATCAAATTTTATAACTTTTTATGATCTTTCATATAACATCAATATTGGATATATAAACTTTTTAAAAAATATGTAGGCCATATAAGACAAAAAGGCCCCTTACAACCATGATCCGTCAATAAACATAATTCTAAATTAAGAATAGTTTTTACTTGGAATGTTTTCAATATTAGACCGACCAAACTTAAACAGACTAAATCAGACTAGACCAATTTTAAACAAACCAGATGAGACCAGAGTTTCATATTATACACAGAAACTATACATTTACCAGACCAGAACAGTTCAGACCAAACAACCACAGACCAGGCCGGCAAATTTCAGTCCAAACAAAAACATCCTAATATGTAGTGTGTATTTTACAAAAATATGAAAAACCAATTAGTAATTTTGGTTCAAAGTTTTCATAAACAAATCCAAATGTGAAATTTTTCTATCTCATTGTTAAGTTTACCTTTTAGATATTTCTTATTAGAAAGTAAAAAAAATATGTTTGGTAAAAATATTGACGGTGCTAGATTTTATGAAAAATGTCACCCCGTCAATCAAGTTTTACCATACAATCTAGCATCGTCGATTCGCTACATATATTTTTACTTTACTTCAGATGATAAATATACATAAATAAATGATTTTAAAAATAGCTATGAGATCTTAACTTTAGCAATTTAGAGGCCCTTTGGGAACACTATTTTTCGGCTTATCAGGCTTATCAGCCAACTTTTTCACCAAACATGTAATTTTTGCTTTCGCGCGCTGAATTGTTTAATAAACAGAAAAAAATAAGGTTGGAGTTACTTTTCTGGCTGTATTGGCTGAAGTTACTGTAGATGATTATTTTAGCTATTTTTACATATAATTTTTTCTTTATTTTATTAAAACAAAATATTTTAAAAATAATATTTTCTTAAATCAGCAGAATCAGCCAATGCATAGCCACTTCAGTCAGAACAACATAAATTTCAGCAGAATCAACCAAATCAGCTGATTTTCGTGCTAAAAAACGGGCTCTTAATCTATTAATGAATTTTTTTTAACCTAAGTCAACCAATTAGATCTTACCATTTTTGTAAAAAAATTGGTTTACACTTAGATTTAGGGGTCGTTTGTGTTTTAGCGTTTTCACCTTCAAACGCTGCATTTAGCAGCGTTTCACGTGTAAAATAATTGACGTTTTGGTTGAACAGCCAATATCCTAACACACTCTTAGTGACGAAGCATGGATGCAACTAGTCTTTTCACTCTATACGGTCTTTAGATTTTTTTTTTTTAAATTTTTATATGTATAATATTGGTGTCATATGAAAGATCATAAAAGGTTATGAAATTTGGTATATTTGTTTTAAAAAAATTGGAACAACATTGTAAAAGATATACTACGTAACAGTTTAAAGAAAAAGGGGATTTTTTTTTATCTTAGGTCCTTCCACCTTATTTTTTGGCCGAAAACTTTCCTTGTTTCGAATGAAAGTCGCCATTCCATTTGGCGTTTTTGCTAACCATAGTTTAAACTAGCAGTACATTCGTAAATAGTTTTAAGTCAACCTTATTTTTGTAATTAGTTATTTTTTTAGCATTAATTGAGAACAAAACTCATAAAATCTGGGATAAACGACTTTACAGTTTACACCCCGTATATTGGGTGATATTAGATTTTGCATCTCATTTCCAAAATTTTAAGACTTTGCGCCCAATTTCCCCTAAAGTCTTTGCATTTGCACCCATTCATGATTTTTTTTTTCTTCACAAGCTGTCGTACAATTCTAAGAGTTTTGAAAATGGGATATAAAGTCCAATATCATCTAAAAATGGGATACAAAGTCAAAAATTCCCATAAAACCGTCATGTAAATAACGACTCTAATGCGAGTGATTTTATGGAGTGAATTTTATTCCGAAGTCATATGGCTTTTGTGATTTCATGTAATCAAATTACACAGATTTTCCAGCAAGATGGAATGTGTGAATTTGGCACCAACAAAAGTAAAGTAAGCAACACAAAATTACTCTCTATGTAAGCCTCAACTTTTCTAATCACACAAAGATGATTACCACAATGTAGAGTCTTTTTGCCAAATGAAGGTAGTTTTGAATCTTATTTCCTAACTAAAGGTAGTTTTAAACTTATTTCAGATAGTTTTTGCCTTGCCATCCAATGTTACCACGCCACCTATCCTAAATCATCCACCAACCACTCTATGGCATCAATCATTCTATGCCATCTCATTCTATGCCATCTCATTTGAGTCGTCATGTAAATAACGACTCTAATGTGAGTGATTTTATGGAGTGAATTTTATTCCGAAGTCATATGGCTTTTGTGATTTCAGGTAATCAAATTACACAGATTTTCCAGCAAGATGGAATGTGTGAATTTGGCACCAACAAAAGTAAAGTAAGCAACACAAAATTACTCTCTATGTAAGCCTCAACTTTTCTAATCACACAAAGATGATTACCACAATGTAGAGTCTTTTTGCCAAATGAAGGTAGTTTTGAATCTTATTTCCTAACTAAAGGTAGTTTTAAACTTATTTCAGATAGTTTTTGCCTTGCCATCCAATGTTACCATGCCACCTATCCTAAATCATCCACCAGCCACTCTATGGCATCAATCATTCTATGCCATCTCATTTGGGTGTACTAATAAATAAAGCCAAATTGAACCCTCGACCTCCTTGATTACTTTGGGCTAGAAACCGCTGAACCACATTCAACGATTGGTTCATATTCTCATTTATATGAAATGATAAATGTTGTTCAAGAATTATTCTACACTAAATAAAATATAAAATAAATAAATGCCATTCTAGGTATAATCCACTTCAGACTTAAAAAAACTTATGTTCGGAATATCAAAATCATGTATTTTAGTGTTGGGATATTTCATTTTTTGTACACGAAATGTAGTGTAAGCAAATCATATATTTTTATATATTTTACATTAATAATACTTCATACATTCTTTAAAAGTTGCAACATTGAGATTTCCGTACTATTCACAACCTCACTTTTGACTACGATTTTCTAATAATATATACTCCGTATAATCAAATTATTATGTGTAAAATGTTATTAAATTTCTATTGATGTAAATTTTCAACATATTAACTATTTTAATGTTTACTAATAATTAATTAAATATAATTAATATCAAATTTGTGTGTTAGCAAACATGAAAGTCAAACTGTTGCAAATGTTAAAGAACGTGATAGTATAAGATTTTATTTAATTTGTGGTGAGTTAGAGCCTATCATGACATTTATTTGTTTCATATTTTATTTAGTGTAAACCGTGACTGGATGGGCTTGGAAGTACGGTGCCAAGCGCTTGATAGATGCTATCAGGGCAACGATCATCTTCTCCATCAACATGTATCTGGTTTCGGGGTCGTTCAGCGCCTTGCTCACAAAATATATTGGCCGCTGAACGCCTTCTTCTTCTTTCAGCAGTATGGAGCTCACTGCCAGATCTGCCACTGCCAAGTACATTTACAACTGTTCCCCTGGATCTGCCTTTGTGAGGATGAGCGGCGAAGAGAGGTATGTCTTGAAATCTTCGAAAGCCGCCTGGCACTCTGGGGTCCATTCGAAGGGATTCGTCTTATTCATGATCTGAAAGAAGGGAATTGCCTTATCTGCCAGTTTTGACATTAAACGGCTCAGTGTTGCGAGGCGTCCTGTTAACCTCTGTACGTCCTTCAGATTCTTAGGGGCTTCCATGTCCATGATGGACTCCACCTTCTCGGGGTTCGGCTCGATTCCTCGCTCACTCATCATGTAGCCGAGGAACTTGCCACCCTTAACGGCAAAGGCACAGTTCTTCGGGTTTAGCCGTATGTTGGCCTCCTGCATGATTGTGAAGGCCCTCTCCATATCCCAGATATGATCACCCTTCTTCTTTCTCTTGATCAGGATGTCATCCATGTAGGCCTCCATGATCTTTCCGAGCACCTCTTTGAATAACATCCCGATAATCTTATGGAAAGTGGCCATGGCGTTCCTCAGGCCGAACGACATGACGACGTAACAGTACACACCATCCGCAATGACGAACGTTGTCTTCTCCACATCATCTGGATGCATAAACACTTGTCTTGTTCACCAACAAGTCAATCCTTGGGACAGGATAGGAATCCATCATACAGGCTTTGTTCAAATCTGAATAATTGACGCACATCCGCCATGTGTTGCCCTTTGGGGCCAGGACCACATTTTCCAACCAGAGATAAATTGTCCCTAATTAGTGTCTTGCTGAATTCTCTGTTCCTAAGAATAGTTTCAAAATTCCCGAACACATTCAGTCGTTGTCAGGTTGTTCCAAACTCTCAAAGAAAGAGACTTTTCAACATTCGCCATTACCTTCATAAGTCCTTCTAATCAGGAGCTAGTTTAATTGTGTGTGCTGCCATAACTTCAAGGATTTTGTGATTAATTTTGTCAGTAATGTTAGCCAGAGTACATAGACATAGTTTAGGGAAGAATTTTCTTGATTTAGTCTGTCTTTTCTGTGAGTATCCGTTTAACTACATGTGCATGCTCATGGTTTTAATGTCGTATGGTGATTATTGTAAGTCCCGAAGTTCAGTTATATTGAGGACAAACAAAAGCTAAGTGTGAGGGAATTTGATAAGTCTGTATTTCAACACGCATATGATGCGTGTTGAGAATCGGATTTTGATGGTTTTGGTAGCTAAAATGTGTCACAAGTCTCTTAATTAGTTCAAGTCATAGTTTACTAGGTTTTGGTTT